GATGAGTATTTTTATTTTTATTTCTATAGAAATATACCAAGTTATAGGCCAAAATGTGTGTAACAATTGAAGAGGAGGAGAAACAGTATAACAACTGGTGTCTGGTGGGTACACCAACTATGCAAAAATCTAAGGTATCTATTGAATCATCATAGATTGGGGAAGCCAGTTAGGAATGACAGTAGGCACTGTAGATTTCTTTAAACTTTCTTCCTCTATTTCAATTTCAAAAACATACATTTACAACAGACTGCAGATATATTCTGTAATAGCATATAAATTGCTTTTGACAAAGATAATGAATTAAATCTTTACCAGGATAGTGTTAAAAAAAGAAATAGATTGTGATGACTCAAGCATGTACATGTGAAGGTAAGAGAAGGCTGATGTTTTCACATCAAGAGTTGACCGAAAAGGGACCAGCAGTTAGCATAATGGCTATGTCGCTGGATTCCCATGTAGTCGATTGCTGTTCAAGTCCCGGACCCAGTGGCTTAAATTCACACCGGGCGCATGTGCATGCGTGCCCAAGATCCTGAGAGGAGAATGGAGGAGAAGGGATTGTGGCGTGGCCATCCCCCCTCGGGGGTGATTTCTCGCTTTCTGTCTCTTCTGTCTCTCTCTGTCTGTCCGCAACCACACGCACCCTATAGAAAAAACCTCAAAAAAAAAAAAAAAAAAAGAGTTGACCAAAAACAAAAGAAAGCAAACAAACAAACAAAAAAACTAATGAGAGGAATATTTACATGGATGGCTGAAAACAACAGGTAACGCGTATTGCACAGTTCTCAAGTTCATGTCCACAATCACGGTATTGGCAGTGCCTCACTCCATCAGAAGGATTTAAGAAAAAAAAAATCCTTGCCACTTCCAGGTTTTGTAGTTCTTGGACTTCCTTGGCTGGAGACAGAATCACTGCAATTCCTTTTCCCACCTTCATGTGATGTTCTTTTCTGTTTCTCTCAGCCTGTTTTCTAAATGTCTTCATATCTCTTTCTCTTTCTAAGATACTTACCATTGCATAGAGTGCCACCCTAAACCTCAGTGATTTCTTTTCAAAATCCTTATGTTAAATATATCTGCAAAAACCCTTCCCATTCAAAGAAGGATATATTAGAAGATGTCAGATAGAGATATATTTTGAGGAACCCATTGCATATGAGAACGAATAGCTGATGGTTAGGATTTGTAAAACTACCAAGACTAAATTAATATTATCAAGCTATAGTCAGAGGGAATCTGGTTACTGGATTATTTTAAAATCTGCAAAATAGGGGCCAGCAGGAGTCATGGGGATTAAGACACTAGACTCCCACGTGGCCAACAGCAGTTTGAATCCTGGGCCTGGTAGCTTGCTTTCTAACTTACCATTATATCTGTTTCTCCCTGTTCAATTTTTTTTAAATATATTTTTTATTTACATTCATTCACTGTACATCATTACAGCATACAAAAGAAGATTTTCCATCCAGAGTGCACTGTATATTGTCTCAATCAAGCACATCAACCTACATGCTATTGTCAACCAACAATTTTCCATTTCTTGTTTCCTGTATGTTTTGCTTCCCCCCCCATCCTTGATTCCCTTTCTCTTACCCTCTGCCATTTACCACTCAACTTTGCCACTGTCTCTGGTATCTATGTTTGCTTTCTATACTGTTTTCTCCCCACATTTTATTGAATTACTAAAGATCTTAATTAATCTAAGTATTTTCATAGAAAACATGGCTGATATATACATTTCCATGAACAAAAGTCTAATTTTAGACATCCTATAAAGTAGCACCTAACTGGGGCTATATTTTTTAATAATAATAATAATCCTTGCACTGGAGTAAATAATATTAAAGTCTTTTCACTGGAGCTTATCAGTACTCTGATTATACAGGGGTCCTTAAATAAGTTCTGTAGAAAATAGGTCTCTTTACACAACGTGGAAGCATCATTACAATTTTACTATAAAAATTTAGGAACATAAGAACAAAGCTAACAGTGTGTTTCTTTTCTAGTTGCATGACAAACATTATAAACAGATCATTTCTGGGGCCGGCAGGTGGTATGGTGATTAAAGTGCTGGACTCCAATGTGGCTGACCATGGTTTGAGTTCTTTACATGATAACTTGCATTCTCACTTTCTCTCTCTCTCATCTCCTGCTCTATCTCTGTCTCTCTCTGGTCAAATTAAAATAAATAAATAAATAAAGTAAATAAAATAATTCAATAAAAAAGAAAACAGCTATTTCTGTAAATCGAGGCTTTACCTTATGGTAATAATTTAGTTAGTAGTTTTCTTAGTGCCATCATGATATCTTTGTTCCTCAGAGTATATATGATAGGATTCAAAGTTGGGATGAAAACAGTGTAGAAAAGAGAGATTAGCTTCCCCGTTCCCTCAGACTGACTAGGTTTGGGGTGTAAATAAGTGATGGTGGCTGTCCCATAGAATAGCACCACAACCGTCAGGTGAGAAGAGCAGGTGGAGAAGGCTTTAGACCTCCCTCTGGCTGAGGACAATTTCAGAATGTTGCAGATAATTTTGCCATAGGAGACAACAATCAACAGAAAAGGAGCCATGATGAATACCACCGCAACTGCAGCTACAAAGAATGATATCTCATTAACAAATGTGTCCCCACAAGCAAGCTTGAGTATTGGAGGGACGTCACAGAAGAAGTGATTGATTGTGTGAGATGCACAAAAGGGCAAAGAGAAAATCATCCATGTTTGTCCGATGACAGGAGGAACTGTACTGATCCAGGAGGCAGCCACCAGCTGGCTGCAGACCTTGTGGTTCATCACTAGAGCATAATGGAGAGGGTTACAAATGGCCACATAGCGGTCGTAGGCCATCACTGCCAATAGGAGGCACTCTGTACCTCCAAGCATAAGGAAAAAACTCATCTGTATAGCACAAGCAAGGAAAGAAATATGTCCCTTCTGAGTCCAAAGGTCCATGAGCATTCTCGGAAGAATTACTGTTACATAACAGATTTCCAAAAAAGAAAAATGGCCAAGAAAAAAGTACATGGGTGTGTGGAGAGCAGGGTCAATTTTTGTTATTAATATTATAATGCTGTTGCACACCAAGATAGTCAAATAGATGAGTAAAAATATACCAAATAGAATTTGTTGGAGATTCAGAATATCAGAAAACCCCAAGAGAACAAAGTTCATCATTGTAGTGATATTTGAATTTTCTGCTTTAATTTGTTCTTTATCTGTAGATATGAAAAATTTGAATGATTAATTCATTCACAATTTAAATAACATTTGACCTTTATGCTAATTGGAATAAATGCATTGAAATATTTATATAATTTCTACAACTATTTTACCATTACTAGGAAATGAAATCGTTATGACTAGGAACTGAGATTAGAGACTTCAATAAGGAACTGCTATTAGAGATGAAATCAATTCAATTACTACAATTCTAATATATTTTGTAGGTTTGGATGGAATGACACCAGAGGTACCGGTAAGTGTGCAATATTTAGAGAACATTTTTGTTGGTGCTGTTTTTTAGGGAGAGATTTTTGCAGTGGGCGTGTGTGCTTGCTGGAGAAACAGACAGAAAGCAGAGAGACAGAAAGCAAGATATCATCCACCACACTGCAATCCCTTTTTATCCAGTTTTTTCTTGCGATTTTGGGTATGCACATACATGGGCCTGGCATGAGTTTTAAGTCACTGTGTCTGAAACTCAAAATCTGGTTGACTACATGTGAGTCCAACAACATAACCATTATTCCGTTTGCTGGTCCCTTAGAAACCATTTTGTAGTAATAATATCTTATTATTTCGTCATTAATAGTGAAATTATGATAAAGGCTCTTCGTTTTATTGCTTTGTTTGGATTTATTTATTTTATGTTGATAATCAGATTTCATAATCTTTCAATTCAAAGAAATTCTTTTTTTAATAGAAATTTTCACTTCATTTTTATTCAAAAAGAGATTTTTTTAAAAAGGATTTTGGCCACATAGCACATTCTCTGTCAGAGTCAATTGAGGTTATTTATTTATTTATTTATTTATTTTTGGAGAGTTTTTTGCTATAGGGTAAGTGTGCTCACCAGAAAGACACAAAGAGTCTGAGAAACAGAAAGTGAAAAATCATCCCCTAGGGAGGATGGCCATGCCACAATCCCTTCTCTACCATTGTCCTCTCGGGATCTTGCACATGTATGCACACGCGCCCGGCGTGAGTTTAAGCCACCAGGTCCAGGACTCAAACCACAGTCGACTGCATGGGAGTCCAGCGACATAGCCATTACACCAACTACTGGTGCCCAGAGTCAAATGAGTTTTAAATAATCTGTTTTATCCTCCAATAACAATCACTTTTCTTAAACTGAGGAAATAAATGTATGCAATATTATTGTTCTAACTGATGTATTTCTTCCATTATTTATACTAAATATGAAAACATTAATTTGAACATACTGTTTGTCCGCTTTACCCATTAACATTCTCTATATGGTTTGTGATAAATATTATTAACTTTTAATTTAGTCAAGAAATATTACCCATATATTGCAATATTTGTTACATACCTCTCCTTATCCATGTGAGATTCTTTATTGTCATGTAATTCTCTTATAATCAAATGTAACTCCCTTTGTCTCTTTTCCCTTCATAATGTTGCAAGTAGTACTTGCATCTTGAATAAATTTAACTATTATTTACTCTGGCCATACAAGTGTCCAAAGCATATGAATAGCACTGAAACCCAAACAAAGCAACAGTCATTTAAACAGCCTGTTTGTTTTGGAAACTGAAAGATTAGAGTACATAGAAACACTGAAGCATTGAATACGGTTATGGATACTGGAGATAATGTGGGAAAAGAGGGTCAGTGTAAGAAAAAAATTACGAAGAGAAAAGCAGGCAAGACATTTATGGGATTCAGAAATGGATTATTATCTGTTGATGATCATGTGTTTTACATCCTTAACTGAACTGGTGTGAAATATGTTCATGTTGGGTAAATTCAACTTATGAGCTGTGATATATAGCAAGTAACTGTATAAAATAAATTTTAAAATATTAAAACAATCAGCCTGTCTTGATATAGTTCATATTAATATTATCCCATACAAAGTCAGGAAGTCAGCATTGCTTAACAATTTCCATTACACCTTCTCAGTGCTTGTTTCCCAACTTTTCACAATAAATATTTATGTATTTCCCAATCTCTTATAATATATTACACCTGCATACTTGTCTAGCCTCATCATCTGATGCTTTTGAATCACTACATTGATAAATAAAAATAACATATTTCCATTACTAAGTAGTTATAAAAGTTACTTTAAATCAATTATTTTTATTATCTTCATTATTTGACCTAGATATAATTTTATGCAACTCTATATTTTTAATAGCTGCATGGTTTATATAATTAACTCATAAAATTTTCAAAACTTTATACTCTTATTATTTGAATCTTAATTCTTATATTTAGAAATATCTTCATCATCATCTAGTAACACAATGACAACTTACCTTTATGGATTTTCATGAGCTGTCTATATAACAGGGTAAGTGATTTTTACACTGTAAACTTTTTAGTCACTTCTTTTTCTCAGAAGTCACTCTAATTCTACAATAATATTTTTTGCTTTTTCAAATACCAACTGCTCTTAAATAGGAACAGTAACTCTTACCCTGGGGAGATCTTCTCTCATGTATCAATTTAATTTCTTGAAGACTGCTTCTGCAGGGCAATCATTCTGGTCACTTTTCAATACCATATTTGTTTGGATAGACTCATCTGCCTCTGCACTTTCTCATTGGCATAGAGCTCTCCCTGTGCAGGGAATTTCTTGGCAGTGCAATAGCATTGAATTGTGTAGAATTACTTTTTTTTTTTTTTAATTTCAGAGAAATATTTCTGCTATAGGGCACATGATCTCATCAGTAAGATAGACAGAAAGTGAGAATTCACCCCCAGAGGTAGGACCACATCACAATCCCGTCTCCTCTCTTCTCCTCCTGGGATTTTAGGCATGCACACACATGCATCCATTATGAATTTCAAACCATGACTGGCATGTTGGGGTCTAGTGCCTTAACTGCCACTCTACCATTGGCCCTTGTATAGTATTATTTTCAGAAAAAGTTAAAATCTTTCTAGCTATTAATTTAAGGACATAGATAATTGATGCTAATTTGCCTTTCTTATTTTTCCTCCCATAATATAACCAGATACAGAAAAACTAAACCTTAAGAAAAATGTGTTGGGACCAGCAGTTGGTGTAATGGCTATGTCACTGGACTCCCACGTAGTTGACCATGGTTTGAGTCCTGGACCCAGTGGCTTGGACTCATGCTGGGCGTGTGTGCCTCTGTGCCCAGGATCCTGAGAGGAGAATAGAAGAGAAGGGATTGCAGCATGGCCATCCCTCCGGGGAGGAGGGGGGCGGTGGTGATTTCTCGTTTCTGTCTCTCTGTCTCTGTCTTTCTGGCTAACGCATGTGCCCTATAGCAAAAACCTCTCAAAAAAAAATAAAAAAGAAAGAAAAATATGTCATGTGATACAAATATGCTATGCTTACTGTATTCAGCATACTTGTAGTAAGATCCCTATTCAGGAGGGAAATATTCTAGTCATAGGTTAACTTTTGTGGACATGAAGGAATGTGATTTCTGCAGACAAATATCTAGATTTTTTTATTCATATTATGTTTTCAAATAATTTATCAGGGAAGATAGTTAACTGAAAATGAAATACAGCCACCTAAAAACACTTTAAACGATGTTATTTAATACAGCCACAGTCACTTAACAACCTATCTGTTTAACAACCACCCAGACTTAAGACCAGTTCTCCAGGGCAGAGAATCCACTTTATTCATCTGGGTGTATCTCTAGAATCTTCTTAGTCTTTGTCTTGTTCTCACAGTCACTTAGTACTTACTACACAAAGCAATCACAATCACATGAAACTACATATTTCATTTACACATGCATGCTTCATTGTGCACCCAGAGTATAATAGTATTCAGAATCAATAGAAATGATTACAATGAATTTCTATTATTGTGTTGTCATATATCTTGTTACTTTTTAGAGCTTATCTAGTGTATGCTTTTCAAATGAATAGAATTACTATATTACTGTAGTAAGCATCACATGATAGCTGTTGAAAATTCATATTCTATTGTACCAGAACACACCATAAGATATTTATTGGACTAGAGTACCACTGCGTATTCAACAAAAGAGAGTTCAAACATAAGACTGAAATGGCGAAATAGAATTTTATGACTTTTGGAGTGAAACATTACTGTTCTTTTCTATGCTTTGTTTTCCCAATTTAATCATTTTATTTTCTTTTTAGTTCTTGATAGGTTCAGCAATTTGTTAAAATATTTTTCTTGTTTGTTTCTTTAGATGGAAAATAAACTTTTTTTCCTTCCTAACCCCTCTGGTATTGGAAAACATTTGGGAATATTCTTATTTTGTGACATAAGCATTATTTGCATAAGTTTAATAATGCTTGTTGCATTGAATCAGACATTAGAAATATTCGTTATTGGACAGGGCTTTGACTGGAATGTCATATCTGCAGTTTAATCAGAAACCTATGGAATTAAGATGGATCTCAGGTAAGCCAACAGAAGCTCTTAGAAAGATGGCTGGGGAGCAGCAATAGGTCTGCTGGGTAGAGAAGATTAGAGAAGATATATAAAAAAAATTTGTAACAGAATAATCTGGACTTTGGAACCAGCAGTTGGTGTAATGGGTATGTTGCTGGACTCCCAGGTAGTTGACTGTGGTTCAAGTCCTGGAACCAGTGGCTTAAACTCACACTGGGTGCATGTGCACGTGTGCTCAAGATCCCAAGAGGAGAATGGAGGAGGAGAAGAGATTGTAGCATGACCATCCATCCTGGGGGTAATTTCTCACTTTCTGTCTCTCTGTATCTCTTTGTCTGTCTGGAGAGCACATGTGTCCTATAGCAAAAACCTCTCCGAAAATAAAAAATATAAAATAAATAACCTGGACTTTTCCAGCCCAGCATTGTAATCAGTAGAGATTGCAAAAGAGCAATCACATCAGAGGATTATCTTGAGAAAGACATTGAAGCAAGAAAAGAGACTGATCTTTGCTAGCAGATGGTATATCACAGAATACTTGGTAGGCAGGGTTGAATGGAGATTTATATGTGACTTGCATACTGGGCATTTGCTTTTCAACAATTTGAGTAGTTGACATGTAAATATT